GTTTTGTGGAAAATCTAGACTTGCGTTATTTAGGGATATATCATAACAGTAAGACCTGGACGTAAGGGGAAGGAATATGCTTTAGGGACAGTGAGACAGCCTACACATTATCCTTGATACTGGTATGAATTCATATCTCAACCGTCTGCACGAGGCGCAAGTGTGCCCACACGGTGCGATCGAAGAACATTGTCAAAGCTGACCTACTTTACCGTTGTACCATACGAGGTATTCGTGATTTCCGGGTTGTTCTGATAACGAAAGTAGCTACTGCGCGTGTGCAGATAAGGCGAAGGTCCAGTATTGTTTGTGTACATGTATATAGGCAACCAACTGTACTCTCTGCTGTCAGTTCTCGTAAGGTAAGAATGTTAATCTGTCTGTTAATCGGAGAGTGTCTTGGGGTGGTGGTTAGGGGGTGATTAACGTTTGTAATGCAGCAGCTTTTCAGGTGGAATAGCTAGTTAATAGGTTGAGGGGATTCAGAGGTTTTACACCGACTTCAATAGTATTCACCGTATATACCATATTTTCTCTATTAATCGCCGTAACAACGTATCGCGCGAACGTTATAGACGTCGAGGCGTCTAATTGAGGAAATACAGTACGTATGGTGCTCTCATAAACCTACAACGGTCTTAAGTCTAAAATATTCATGAGTGGGCGGAACCTATGTGACCATGCCACACTTGTTTCGGACGCACTGCATCTCACCTGAACACGGAAGTGCATCGGACTTCTGCCGAGTTGTGACACCATACAGCGTATATGCCGGCACTCCATTGTTTGCGGTACAATCACTATAACCTAAACAACCTGTAACTTCTTTGTTAAATAAGCAAACGATCATATAAGTGAATCCCTGTGAAATGAACAAAGCGAACTGTATATTACAAAGTGGTGTTTAAAGATTGTGTAGCTTTTAAGCAAGAATGTCACGGTTGGACATGTAATCTCTTAGTTTGCCACATTTCTTTTTGTCATTTAGTCCTGGAAATTAAACACTGGAAACATGTGCTGAATATATTAAAAATAAAATCAAATCTAAAAGGTATATGAAAGTATTTCTTTCTTTATTTTTTCACACCAGTACGTCATAACAACACTGTTGTTGAGGTGCTTTATGTTGAAGCATCTTGCGAAAACGAACATAAAACCTCAGTCTAAACGAAGACATAAGTAGCTTTTAATTTAGGCATCCTAAATATTAATGATTTTTGTTTTTTTAGTTGTTTTTGGAGCACTCAGCAACGGCGGTCTGTAAATAATAGACTCTGGGCCAGACAATCCAGTGATCACCATCAGGAACATGTATCTAAGCCATTGGGATACGATGACAAGCATTAACCAAGTCAGCGAGCCTGACAACCCGATCCTCCTAGTCGGCTCTTACCAAAAGCATGTATCGTCGCAGGCCCATAGGCATAAATAACAGTAATGTTTAATTGGGGATGTATCCCCACTGGCATTATAAGTAGTAGTAAGATTCAAACCAACTTTCATTATAAATAATCGTAATGTTTATTCGGATGAAGATTGACCCCAAAGGCATTATGAACAGTAGAAATGTTTTATTGGGATGAAGATTCAACCAACAGGCATTATGAATAATAGCAATGATTATTGGGATGAAAATTGATCCCAAAGGCATTATAAATAATAATAATGTTTTATTGAGATGAAGATTGACCTAAGCTTTTTGAAAGAAATTGGTCTGTATCATAAATTTTAAATATGTATGTGAATAATTAAATGCTTGTTTTTTATTTGGTGTGATGCTATTATGAACTGACATTATTGAGGGCTCTGTCCAGGAGCTGACTTTGTGTGCTGGCGATTAGGTGCCTCACCCTGGCAGGTGTGGGTTCGAATCCCGCACGGTACTCAACCCCCAAAAAGTACTAGAATCTGTACTTTACTAAGAAAGTGTTATCCCAAATATAACATTAGTTACATTTGACCACTTTCTAAATGGCATTGTGTATTCATACTGTCCAGGAGGTTAACGTAGCGTAAAAATATTGTCCCCATGTGTGATCCTATCATAATCGAGATCACTATCATGTTGGAACAGCTCCCTCTGGCGGGCCAAAGTTGGGAGGAGGTGATGACGCAAAATTTGGTCTATGTATTGGTTTGCTGTAAGATTGCCCTGCACAACCACTAACTGTGATCTATCCGTGTAGGATATGGCTCCCCAAACCATGACACTCCCTCCACCAAATCGGTGCACCTGTCGAACGCAGTTCGGCGCAAAACGTTCATGTCGACGTCGGTATACACGCTGTCTTCCATCCCGTCGTTGAAGAAGAAAACGTGACTCATCACTGAACCAAACGCGTCGCCAGTTCCTGAGATCCCATGCCTGTACTCTGTTGCACCTCCGGACACGTCGTTGACAGTGTAGACGTCGCAAGACAGGTCCAACTTTTGGTCGTTTCACTCTAATTCCCACTTCCCTCAGACGATTTCTGATGGTTTGGTCGGAAATTTTTCCCATACCAGGCACTTGTCCTTCAGTGTCCGTTGCTGTAGCAAATCGATTCCGAATGTGATGTAACCGGATGTACCGATCCTGAGCAGGGGTGATCACTCTTGGTCTTCCACTTCTGTGATGATCTTGAGTCGAATTAGTGCTGGTATATCGATCCCATAGTCGAGATTTGGTGAACGTTGAAGAGTCTTGCAACGGCAGACTGGTACTCCCTTGATTCCAAACGTCCAATGGCGATATTTCGGTGAGCTGCAGTTAATCTTGGCATTTTTCGATCTCCGTTTACGTCAGAAAATTCGTAGTGAACTGTTGAATTTTGTACGGTCTTTTATAGTCAGTGTCTCAACTATTGTTTCCAACACTTTGCACGTGCATTGTGCTGAAAACGTTTTCTGAAAGCAATTTCCGTGCATCCTTTGCATTTTTGCTGATAAACGTTTCCCCGAAAAACATTTTGAAATGTGTTTGCGCGCAGTGCACAACAAACATGACACGATTAACAGGAAGCAAACATAAGAATTGTCTTTATGACGATTGCTTGGAAAAAAATCTAATTGGAATTCTCAAAACACCTATGCGTTTCTTTTTTGAAGAGTGTATTTTATAGAAATAGGGCATCATATCATATACTGTTTGGAGATAAAAGTTGTGTCAATCTAACACCTGGAACTGTTTGTAATATAGTTTACTTTATATATTCTACGTGCATGAGGACCATAGTTAAGCAGTACAGAATGAATGAAAGTGTGTCAGAATCTCTGCTCATATGGATTGCACATTCCTGAACCTCTGTCTCTCCGACACATATGAATAAATAGAGAAAGGAACTCAAGTCTAGAATGATTTGGCAAGTCCTAAATGCCTGAGCCCTGGGCCTGATTGATAAACATTGTTCTAGGTGCTCTTTGGATTTAATTTTACATATTTATTTTACAAGCATGATAACTCTTTGTTTCTGGGACAACCTGGAATCTTATCAGGGTTTCTGAAATAAAAACAATATTGTTGTATCTTGTAGTTGACCACCTTATGCCATGCGCAGAGATTGCTTTGCTCTTGCAAGTAGGGAAAGATGTATTGTATTAGTATGGAGCTTGGTGACAAAAGGTTTTTACTGTGTTGGGTATGACAGTAATAGCAAAGACATTTCAATGTTTCGATCAGGGCTACTGTGCATCACTGAATGTTTCGGAGATGGGCGAGTTGGGTTGACTCAGTAATTCGCGTAAATTTCGATCTGTCCGAAGTCGAGGCTTGCAAATACAGTTCAGCACAATCTTCAAAGACACATAAACTACATGTTATATACCTCATGTGTAGATTGTGAGTTAAACATCGTATCACGCAATGACAGCCGAGACAGCGATGCGCTCGTTAGACGTCAACTAACATACGTATGATATTTAATTATTTTGGCATTTGCATACAATTGATAAAGTTTATAACGGCAGTTTCCTCTTTGAAAGAGACGAAAATACAATTAAGCTATAACATTGTAAAAAAATGTTTTATTTTTTTTATTAATGACAACTTGTTGTTGACATTACAACTTGCTAATTAGAATCGTGCAAGGCATTTTTGGTGTGTCCTTTAGGGTTCGACCATTTGATTTGATTTGTATCGAATAAAACATTGTCCCTGTCGTTGCTCGAAAAAAACCTAAAATGCATCATACTGTTTGTATAAAATACACTAGTTTGCCACAAAGTAACATTGTTGCAAAGTGTTTTTAATAAAAAATATTCAGGGCTCATTGCTTTATTTAGAAATGGGCGGTCCCTTCCACAAGCAAAGATGACATGTATAGCTAATGTCATTCCCACCAGAAGCGTGACATCTTAAAACTGTAAGAATAAAATAGATATGGAGTACATTGACACGCATATAAGTGTGCTAGAGTTCAGACCTGTGTCATTGTGATTTCCCATTAGATGTTTTGCAGGTAACCAGGATTATTTGTTCGAATCCCATATTCACCCCAATAAATTGCTCTTGGTTTGTCTGCACCATATTCAAGCTCGTGAGTTTCTACACTGTTACTTTAAACGTTCCTCCCACATTATGCTGACATGTCCTTATATTACTGAAAAAGTGTTTTAAAGCAGACTAAAGCCCAACACCACTCAGGTCATCATCCGGGGCGAGATAAACTATTAGAATATCGCTTGATTACCCACTGCACGGGGGTTTTACTTGAGGCAAAACATGTGAAATCCCGAATCTGTTCTTGTCTCTTAGCAACAACTGTATAAAACATGTATACTACATTGTAACAGACGAATTGGTTGATGACATGTCAATATGTATGTGTACGGGTGTGTATATGTGTCTGCTCTTAGAAGCAGATCATACAGAGTTTCCTCTTTGTGGATATTGTGGTTGTCATTGTTTCCTAACTATGCCTTTGCTCATTGAATGCTTAACAACTACAGTACATACACATTACCTCGTTACAGATTCTATTTCAATTTCATATTACATGATCGTAATGATTTTCGTTTGCCAGACATCATGTCGGATCTTGTCTCAGTTGCTGAGATCAAGGATCATCTGACCGAGTGTCCAATATGTACAGAACACTTTGATGAGTCGACACGAATTCCCCGTCGTATGCCGTGCTGTGTACAGTCCTTATGCCAACCATGTCTAGAAACCTGCAGTAGAGGCACAACAGTCTTAGACTGCCCCATGTGTCGACAACGACATTACCTGAAAGGAGGTGTTAAATCTCTCCCCAAAGAGACTGTCATCCTGAAGTTTCTGGACTACCTCAAGATCCAGAAAGGTCTCCATCTTCCATGTACAGATTGTCCTGATAAAGAAACAGCTGTAGCCCAGTGTGACAACTGTAGAACATTTTTATGTTCAATCTGCCTAAATGCTCACAAACGAAATATGGTTACAAAAAAACACACAATAAATACCTTCCATGAGATGAAGGGCCGACCTGTACAGAGTTTCCGTCGTGTACATCAGTGTAGTCACCACCAACAACCTCTACAGTTCTACTGTAACACTTGTGACAAGGTTGTCTGTGTGTCCAGCACTGTAGTAGATCACGATAAAGGGAAGGGGCACAACGTCGTGTCCGTGGATGAAGCACACAAAGAAAAGATAAAATCCACCGATGAATTTTTGGTTAAGATGGAGGAAAAGACGAAAAGACTGAGCAAAACAGAGTCAGATCTTAACATGAAGATAGAGGACATCGAACTGTCAAAGCGCGTGTCAAGAGATGATATCAACAGAGTCTTTGACAACTTGATCGATGCTCTGAAGCAAAGACGAAAAATCCTTCTGTCTGATGTTGAGGAGAAATCAGCTAAAAGTCTCAAGCTAACAGAGCAGGCGCTGGATGCAACAAGACTACTGCTGAGGAAAGCGAGGTCATCTATAGAATACACGAGACAGATGAGCAGCAAAGCTGACAGGATAGAATATCTGCAAGTATTGGGATCAATACATAAATACATGTTGAAGGAGGAGTCACCAAAGGAAATACCCTTCGTCAGGACTGGAGTTAATTTTTTCCAAGCAAATGTAAAACATCTTCAGGATACTATCAAGGGGGCAGGAATGGTCAGATCAGTCACGTTCTCCCCAACAGAGACGTCGCATGGTGTGGAAGATTCTGCAGCATACACCGCTATCATTGTGGAACCAGCCGAGTTACCTTCAGGTAGGTAGTACTAAATAATATATTTCTCATGGAAATAACAGATACGATAGACAGACAGTATGAAGGTCTAATGTAGTAGACAAGTAAGTGTACGAAGCGTATACAATGGACATAACTCAACATAACTGCAATACAACATGTTAAACACGCGTGATTTTACTTTACTGATTTCACTGTAAAATATTGACAAGGAGTTCTTTACATTTATAAATTCGATCAATATTTGGTAAAGTTGGTTGGTTGGTTGGTTGGTTTGTTGTTTAACGCCGCATTCAGCAATATTCCAGCTATGTGACGGCGGTCTGTAAATAATCGAGTCTGGACCAGACAATCCAGTGATTAATTTGATGAGCATCGATCAAAGCAATTGAGATCGACGACATGCATCAACCAAGTCAGAGAGCCTGACCACCCGATCCCGTTAGTCGCCTCTTACGACAAGCAGAGTCACCCTATACGGCAAGCATGGGTCGCGGAAGACTTATTCTAGCCCGGATATTCACGGGTCATATTTGGTAAAGACCTATTTTGGAACAATAGATTTTTGGTTCTCATGTAAATAAAATATACTCATCCTCAATTTCACAACTGTCACAATGTGTACATACACAATGAAACACCTGAACAACAGATCCTTTTTCTTATAAGATGCAACATAGGCAAAACCAGTAGGGAAAAAAGGTCTATCTCAAATTTTCTTTTCCATAGTCATCCCAACCTTTTAACATTAAACAACAATCTATCCCCAGCAACCTATCCAACAGCTTTGAACTCTATATTGGCACTGGACATGCATACTGTAACCCCAGCTCCCCCAAGTATGGCATTTACTACATTTTATTTCACAAATAATATTATTGGAGACTTGTTTCCATCAAACAATATTGTAGCTGGCTCGAAATATAAATGGCTTTTGGTCTTGAGCAATTTATAAATGGGAATAAAAACCTTTGATGCTTATGGAGCCTACACGGCTGGGTGAAAAACGCTATACCCAGGTATTTGTAGTAAGATACTACAACTTTCAGTCGTGTGTACATCGAATTTGTTGTATGTTTCTGTTGCGTTCTAAAACGATCCACTCGTCGTCCCAAGACAGTTTTTTTTGTTTTCGAAATTACACGATTTCCTACTTTTATACAACGTTCCGTCTTAGGACTTAATTACGTGACGTTACGCTATTCCAAAGAAAATGTAGTATTGAAAGCTTATGTTGTCATGCCATTCTATGTAGAAATGTTATACTATGTTCCACCCACAGTGGTTAATCGGTATTAAGGTTTAGATTTCTGATACATCTGAACAAGTGAGAAATGTTGTTTATCACGAGAATCAACGGGTTCACCTGCAAAAACTCGGGAACACATGGTACAAGTCAAAACAGGGATTTGCATCATTCTTGTCACTGTTGCGTCAAATTTGGAAATGTCATCCATGTATCTACTATACATGTTTTTTAAAACTTGACTGAGGCCTTAAATGTTGTAACTTTTATCAAACAACTTTTGAGCAAGAGTCCCATGACTCTCTTTGAAATCGTCAAAGAACAGCATGCTCGATTACACCTCAAAACAATAGAAAACCCAAAGACCGGACCCGCTGGATTTTGCTTGACATAAAGAGAAAGTTGACTTCTGGAAGTTGAAGTCATCACTCTTGTTACACGGTCTGGTGAATTTGTTTGGTTATTCTGAATCTTTATTCATAAATATAAATATGAAACTGATGAGGCGGTATCATTTGTCTCTTTATTTCCACTTAATGTTGGTTGGCTGGTTGGTTGGTTGTTTAACGCCGCACTCAGCAATATTCCAGCTATATGACGGCGGTCTGTAAATAATCGAGTCTCGGCCAGACAATCCAGTGATTGATATCATGAGCATCGATCCATGCAAATGGGATCGATGACTTCATGTTGGTAAATCAGTTGAAGGGAACTGGCTACTTAGCCATAATGGAATTATATGAGATCAAACGTATTATCCAAATTAACTTGTTTTGACTTTGTCAAGCAGGGCAGAAATTCTGATCCTTTTGTAAAAAGAACAGATAAGTAAGAAGGGGAGCAAAACTGATGCCCATGGTGATGACTACTTTCTTGCCTAAATATCTACGGCAAATATGTACATTTATCAGAATGACACTACCCCGTCCAGTGAAGTTTGTTCTTCTGTTTCATCCCGCGATACTGTTATAACGGTTAATATATGCATTACAATAGTGAGAGCAGGCAGTACATGTACATAGGACACACATAAAGATTAATATCTTGTTTCAGTGATCGAGATCGACCGGAAGATGTCTGACCAGGAGATAACATGTAAGATCTGCGCCCTTGATCATGACATGATGTTACAAGATATTGTTCATTGGTTTTGTATCTGTCAGTTGATTTCGAGAGGTTACCACCGCTTTCGAGATCTGAACTTTGTGCTTACCTTTTGATAGTTTAGTACAGAAGTTTTATTAGTCGTCACGTTAGCTATGTTGCATATCATGCATGGGTTGCCTGATTTTTGAATGTTAAGTAATGTAGGAGAAGAAAGCCTCCTTGGTGTAGTGGATAGAACATCCGTCCGGAGAGCTGAATGTCGGGGGTTCGATCCCCAGTCACGTATAACCAAAAGACATTAAATGATGGTACTTGTTGTTACCCTACCTGGCGCCCGGCACTAAGGGGACAAAACTAGGTCTGGTCGTTTCGGAGTCAGCATACTGAGTGGGGTATTCATGTTAAACTGTGGCATGGTATCTCAGTTGGCTAGCACTTTAAACTCGGCAGTCGTCCTACACCACACACACATACATAGACACGTACATACGTACATACACACCCTCGCGCGCGCGTGCATGCACGTTATACGTGTAATAATCTTGAAGTTATATATATTAAACCCCAGAACGAATACACTTCTAAATTAATACATAATATATCAATGATAGGTTATAGTGAGTGAGTGAGTGAGTTGGGTTTAACGCCGCTTTTAACATTATTCCAGTTATATCACGGCGTGTCAGCTTAATGTGGGAGGAAAGCCCGAAGTGATGCAGGTCTCAGACGTTTACCACTTCGGTGAACCCACGAGCACGGGTATGGTGCTGACATACCTAGAAACATAATCGGGGCGAATCGGGATTCGAACCCACAATCATAGGTTTCTGGCGTGCCCAAGGGACGCAGCTCTGCACAGCGAATCGCGGCGCCTTAGACGACTGGGCCACCCGTGCCCCCATGATAGCTTATAACTTTCATTTGGTAGATTGACTAAATTGTGAGTTAAACACGTATTAAGTGATATATATGTTAGCTACAAGATGTGTTGGTACTCATTACGAATGTTTTTTTCATCACAGGTCCAACTCTGGAATGGTACACTGACACTGCAAAATGCATCATTGACGTATCTGAATGTGTAATCACAAACACAAGACCGGCTGTTATTTCTCCGAACACAGGATGTCGGATACGAAATGCCAGATCATGTCTAGCGTCCAGACCTTTGGTGGTCCGAAACAGTCCTGGGCAGCGTTGCATGTATGGAATAAAGTTGGGGTTATCTATAAAGACATTGGTAGGAAGTAATAAACTTATACAAGAGATAGCCCTGACATCCTCTCCTGAAGATGCTGTCCGGCCGCAACACATTGGACTGAGTGTGTATGTTGCAACATGCTCCACCCACAACCAACAGCTGTGTCTTCGGGTAAACTACAATAAAAAGCTCTTCACTCACCTTCCACTCACTGAGAACAGAGTTGGACAGTCTTATGACCTTCAGCTATACTTTCTACTGGATGGAGCTAGTGACAAAATATTAGTCGTTAATGCCATTGACAATTCAGTGTACACCACTGTTACAGATGTAGAATTTGACAGACCACTGTGGGTTATGATGTATGTTTGTGATCCCACAAAAGCGGTTGTAAGAGGAGAACTGATATCTGGCCACAAAATCCAAGGAACCTTTGCCAACTTTAATCTGTAGAATCTGTAGAACATATTAACATTTTAACAATAGATTTTTGTAAATAAAGTGTTTGAATCTGAATTTCCCACACACTACTGTCAGTGATCATGAGCACGCGATTTGTTTGGAAATGAGTGAGTGAGTGAGTATAGTTTTAGGCCACTTTTAGCAATATTCCATCAATATCACGGCGGGGGAAATGGGCTTCACACATTGTACCCATGTCGGGAATCGAACCCGGATCATCGGCGGGACGAGCGAACGCTTTAACCACTAGGCTACCCGACCGTCCTGTTTGGAAATAATGGTAGTGGTGCTGAACGATGTAGGATGTAGACATATGGAGGGCATTTGTTCCTTTGTTGGTTCGCACGAATCCCATGACTAGCCTTTGCATGCATTTTTGTGGCGTGCTACCGGAAGGGCAAGCAACGCTGACATTCATTATTATGCTTCAGACTGTTGTAAAAAAAATGTCTGCCACAACAACTACCTGGTTGCAAGGTGTTTTTCTTAAAAACATTTCAGGCTCATACATTTATTTTACAAAATATCTGGTCCTGCAGCAGGAAATGAAAATGTATATTATCTTGCACTTACAATGGTGATTTTCATTAAAATATTTTCTGCATGAGATCACCTGAGGTATAAACATTTACCTGCTAAGTAAAGCTCTTGCTTCATTTGAAAATCCTGTGTCAAATCCTGATGTTGTAGCTTCTGTTTCCTTTGTGAACTGTACATTGTACCTTAAACCTTATTCGTTTACTTGATTTCCGATTTCCAACCTCACATCAAATACACAGACTGGGCAACAGTGAGTGAGTGAGTGTGTTGGGTTTAACGCCACTTGTAACAGTATTCCAGTTATATCACGGCGTGTCAGCTTAATGTAGGAAAGCCCGAAGTGATGCAGGTCTCAGACGTTTACCACTTCGTTGAAACCCACGAGCACGGGTATGGTGCTGACAAACCTAGAAACATAATCGGGGCAAACCGGGATTCGAACCCACATGGGGTCTGGCATGCCCAAGGTCGCGGCGCCTTAGACGACTGGGCCACCCGTGCCCCCTGGGCAACAGTGATCAATAAAGTCAACAAGCATCCATGGTTTAGTTAAATGTGATCTTGACATAACAAATCCTGATTGTGATCGCATAAATACAATAGAAAATAAGCATAATGTAATGTAAGCAAAATAAGTTCATGTGCGCGTTAATAATTTGTTTAATACCGCACTATACAATTTAACATGAACAAGAAAAGCTATGAAACCCAATTCCATAATCATAATATATATAGATATTATAAATTCCATTGTACGATTCCCTCTCCAAAATAAGCATATTTTTTTCTATAAATGTAAATCACTACCAAATGCGTCAACTGTCCTCCATGTGTTTAAACCAATAGGAAGCAATACTGAGGCCTTGAGTGTTGTAGCCCTGATCAAACACCAAGCGTTGCACGGAGCTCTTTGGAATCTCCTTAGAGTGACCATGATCGATTGTACATCAAACCTTTTGAAATTTTTACGCCATCAACAAAGTCACAGATACTGACCACGCAATCCAATTTTTCGCAACGATCAGCAATAAAATCCTATATGTTCGAAGCTAGTTTCCTACATGATTCATACATGGGCGATGATATCGAGACCTTACACTTGTGAAAGGTATTTGTCATTGATAATGATAGACAAAACAGCCTAATGTTCTATATGAGGTCACATGTGCACGGGTTATCAACATGATATGTGTGGACTTTGTACATCCAATCCATACCCTGGGTCCGTGTTCCAGTCACATTGATCTGTGCCGCCCACATATATCTGCATCTCCCTTGACTCATGAAAGCTAATGCGATTGTGTCTATGTCTGTATGTCAGGGTGATGCGACCACAGATCACTTTTACAGGAAGGTAGGTCCCAAACAGTTATAGCGTCAGTGTGTGTTACCACTTGAGACTTAAGGATTAAAATTAGTAAGGTTTGACGCACCTTTCAACATGTCCTTTATAATTTTTTTCATTTAACAAATTAAATTTCACACACACAAACACACACACACAAACACACACACACACACACACACACACACACACACACACACACACACACACACACACACACACACACATATATATATATATATATATATATATATATATATATATATATGTATTTGTTTTTTGCTTAACGCCGCACTCGAGACTGGATCAGACAATCAAGTAATTGACATCATGCGCATCGATCCACACAAATGGGATACGATGGCATGTATCAATCAAGTCAGCGAGCCTGACCACCCGATCCCGTTAGTCGCCTCTTACGACAAGCATGGTCGCCTTTTACGGCAAGCAGGTGTCACTGAAGACCATTCTTCCCCGGATCTACACGGGTTATATTTATCAAGGCAATTTTCATTTAAGGTATTGAAAACATTAATAATCATGTTTTCATTAAACTGTACCACCTTAACACGAAAGGAGTTAGCATCAAATCAATCGCTATCATGAACCATCACAATTATTTTCTCTGTACTAATTGATATAATTGGATTGCATGTTTTCATATAGATAGGGGGCATTATAAGGTAAGAGGACTTTCATACAAATTAATATTGCAACATTCATTATCGAGTTGTGTGTGCTTTTCGCAGGAACAATGTCTGACTCTCTCTCATCGTCACATGTCCAAAGTTATCTCACAGTGTGTCCAGTATGTTCTGAACAATTTGATGATGCCGCGCGCCTTCCCCGCCGTCTGTCGTGTTGTGTACAGTGTGTCTGTCAGCCATGTTTACAGCAGATCTACAATGAAGAAGACAAGACGTTGCTCTGCCCTGTCAGTCACCACAAGCACGAACTTCATAATGGAGTTACCTCTCTTCCGACAGAGCCTATCACATCGAAGATACTTGACTACCAGAAAATCCAAAGAAATGAGCGGGTGGTATGTACAGATTGCCCAAGCAGCAACGAGGCAATAGCACGTTGTGAAGAATGCTGTGTATTTTTATGCAAGGAATGCAGGATAACCCATGATCAACACAGATTGTCACGACATCACAGAACTCATACATTTGAGGAGATTAAAGGTCAGCCGATCCAGGCCTTGAGACGACTACACGAATGCGGCCATCACCCACAGCGTCAGGAATATTTCTGCAATACCTGCGAGAAGATCATATGTGTTTCCTGCACTGTAGAGGAGCATCGAGAAGGAGCGGGACACATGTTTGTACCTGTGGATAAAGCACACCAAGAAAAATCAATACATGTTGATAACATGTTAAATCAACTTGACGAAAAGGCTGTAGAACTGAGTCAAACAGAACAAGAATTGTTACACAAAGTCGACAACATGCACGTGTCAGCACTTGCAGCCAGACAGGACATCAACAAATGCTTTGAGAAGATGATAGAGGAGTTGCAACAAAGGAAAGCAACTCTTTTGTCAGACGTTGAGGAGAGAACCGGCGCTGATGTAAAGCTGACGGAAGAGATCCTCCAGTCAACCAGAGAGCTGCTGGCGAAGGTGAGATCCTCAACAGAGTACATTAGACTGATGAGAAGCATGGCCGATAACATCGAGGATCTTCATCTGATGCTTTCCTCTACACCATCACTGAATGGCATACTAGCTGAGGAGCCAAAGAAAGTGGAATTTGTAAGCAGGGGAACATCCTTTGTCCCAGCCAATCTGAATAATCTCGCGTCCACTATCAAGGTGACAGGCATGGTCAGGTCTGTCACATACACGCCAACCCAGAGGCCAAAATATGTACCACAGAAGACAATATATAACACCATCACACTGGAGCCAGCTGAGGTACCTGCAGGTCGGTTTCTGCAATAGTTCAAATATTTCAATACCTTTGTGACCCTATCTTAAACTGGTTGTTCAATTCTGTTATTTTAAGCTTGTTTATTTGCTGTAATTGCTTTTATGTATATTCCAGCAAAATCATAGCAATATGTACATACTCGATTGAAAATTGTTGGCCTTTTAGCGATATCTCATGCAGTTTTAATCTCCTCTTCTAGCAATCATTGATTACTTGGGACGAATTCTTGTCCCTCAATTCACACTAGAGAACGTCATATATGACCATGGAATTAACTGAAAATATGCCATATGTATCCCAATGTCACAAGTAGTAAGCAGTTCACACACTACGATCACCCGGACCCAAGAAAGTCACCAAACCGTAACCCCTTGATCCAATCTAGTCAGCGAAGTGGTAAACGTCTGAGACCTGCATCACTTCGGGCTTTCCTCCCACATTAAGCTGTCACGCCGTGATATAACTGGAATATTGTTAAAAGTGGCGTTAAACCTAACTCACTCACTCCCTCACTCCAATCTAGTCACCTCTTACGAAAGGAAATTGAGAACTGGGGGGCCAGTTCTATGCTGGATCCTTATTAGATATGTATTGTTTAATAGTTGTAAACACCGTGTAACTTTTTTAATCTAGTAAGGCTTCAGTAATATGATTTGATATGACAAACGGTAGGCTTGGCATTCATTTTATTCACTCAATCAGTATCTCATTTCAGTGTGTGATGGTGACATGGTTCTATCGAAGGTAGACACAATGGTTACAACATGTAAGTTTAAATATGTTTCTATTCATAACAACGTTTTTATTACAAATACGAACAGATCATATACACATACCATATGTTTAATAAACAAGATTGTAATATTAAAAGTACTCCTTGTCACGTCTTAGAAAACCCCTGTTGTTGAGTGACTTCAACTTCAGCTATGACGTCGTTTCTAGTGTGACGTCATTCCGGCCCTATGTCACAATCGAATGACGTAAACAATACAAGTGTGATGTGCACTTGAAAGAAGAGACCAAACTGGGAAAGAAAAACATTGCTTCTTGCTAAGTAATTAAACCTCATCATGAAAATAAAGTCCCTCTCCTGAGCTAATCAAGTATTAAAAAGAAAAAAACACGACTGCTAGTATAGCAATTTGTCTCCATTTAACATCCCACCTATTGGGTGCACCTTAGCTTAAGACAATCAGTAAATGTTACAAACATCCTTCTCTAAACTGTCACATCCACTTTGAACAGTGGTTACCGTCAGATGAT